GTTTTTACTTCTATATAAAAGAACAATCCTCCCAGACTAACAGGAATATAGTGTAACCCTGTAGAGTCAGTTCTGTACTGAGCGGGTATTTTCGTTTGCTGATAAGTCGTAATTTTTTTCTATTGCTTCGAGATATCAGGGACAAACTCAGTCTCAGGGTTCAGCTTATCTGTCCGACAACGTGCATGGATTCACTGCTTCAATACTAGCTTAGTTATTGGAAATATATAGAAATGAAGGTTTCCTTGTTTCTTACATCTGTTATCACTATTGGACCTACGCACAACACACAGAACAAGAAAAATAGAGAAAGAACATTTGTTTGTTGGTCCGCACATGGGTCTATGGATCTCCAGTGACGCATCTATTTCCATCTGTGACGTCACATGGATACATGGCACAATACACTGTGGGAAAAAAAGTGCTGAGTGAACTATACATATAGTCTCTGAATCTTGTTAGGTGTGATCAGGGCGTGAAGGGGCTTGAGGAGCTGGGCACACTTGGGAACAAATCTCCTGTAGAAGTTGAACATCCCCAGGAATTTTCAAAGTTGTTTCTCCGTGACAGGCTTGGGGAACTTCCTTATGGCGGTGACCTTCTCCTGCGCTGGGGTGATGCCTTGAGAGGTGACAGTGTGGCCTAGGAAAGAGAGCGAAGCCGCGCCGAAGAGACATTTCCCTGGGTTGATCACGACCCCTGCTTCTTGCAGTCTGCCGAAGAGGGCGCGGAGATGACGGGCGTGGTCTGCCTCTGAGGCGCTGGCGACGAGGATGTCGTCGATGTAGGCGAAGACCCCCTCAAGGCCGCGAGTCACGTCGTTGATAAACCGCTGGAAGGTCTGAGCAGCGTTGCGGAAACCGAAGGGCATCCTGAGAAACTCAAACAGGCCGAACGGTGTAATGACGGCAGTTTTAGGGATGTCCTCCTCAGCGATCGGAATCTGATGGTACGCCCTCACGAGGTCGATCCTCGAGAAAACCGTACAGCCAGACAGCTTGTGGGAGAAGGAGTGCAGGTGCGGCAGCGGGTATCTGTCAGGGGCGGTAATCGTGTTGAGATGACGGTAATCACCGCACGGGCGCCAGTTGCCGTCCTTCTTCTTCACCAAATGCAGAGGGGCCGCCCATTGGCTGCTGGAAGGGCGTATGATCCCCAACTGCATCATGTGGTCGAACTCCGCCTTGGCACTGCGACATCTGTCGGGGGCGAGCGGACGGCAGCGAGAGTTGGCAGGGGGACCATGAGTCACGATGTGGTGACGGACCTCGTGCCGTGGTTGGGTGGCCCGGTTGATCGGCTTGGTCAAGGCCGGGAATTTCCGCAGGATGTTCTTGAAGGCACAAGTCCTGGGAAGCACTGTATATATTATGGGGGTACTTACCAGAGCCGGAGCAGCGTGCGTGCGGGCCCCGGATTGGTGGATTAGGGCCATACCTTGCAGATCGACCGTCAGACCGTAGTGTGCCATGAAGTCGGCGCCGATGATGGGTTGTGGGACGTCGGCGACGAGGAAGATCCACTGGAATCGTTGGGCGGGCTCGCCTTCCAGCGAGAGGGTCCTCGAACGCTCGCCGTAGGTGTTGATGGGGGATGTGTTGGCAGCTTCCAGAGTGCAGGAGTAGGGGAAGCGTTTATCCCTGTGGGAGGCTGGAAGGAGGCTGACCTCGGCCCCTGTGTCGACGAGGAAACGTAGGGAGGAGGAGGCATCTCGGACGTACAATAAACACCTCCGAGGTCCGCGAAAGACAGGCGCGCCCAGTTTCCGCGGCTTCCTCCACTCTTTGCGCGGCGGTGAAGGAACGCGGAAGCGAGGCTGGCAGAAGGGCGTTGCAGAGCGCCTGATGTCCCGTTCAAAGCGTGGTGGCGAAGGGGTGCGAAAGCGAGGCCGGGAGTGAGAACGTTCCTGTGTGGATATCTTCTGCACGGCCTCGGATAGTGTGGCGACATGGGCTGCAAGGGCTGTCAACGTCACGGCGGAGGTGGTGGTTGCGGCAGACACTGTTGCTATTGACGATGTGGGTGCCCTAGCTACGAGCATCGCGTCGGCTTGCAGGGCAAGTTGCTCCAATGGGGCATCTGACACCAGCAGGATTTGCTGGATATCAGCGGGCAGCCACTTGAGGAAGAGGGAGCGCATGACGTCAGGTGGGAATGTAGTGCCGGTGCGGGTGAGGAGGCGCTGGAAGTGGTGAAGGATTTCTGTGGGGGTACGGTTGTCCGCGGCGTCAGACGACAGGAAGGAGCTTAACACGGTCAGAGGGTTAGGTGCTGCTCGCCTAAGAATGGCCTCCTTAAGCTCGTCGTAAGTGGCGTACCGATGATTGTGCAGGAGGTCGCCGACGGTCAGGAGTTCTGGTGGGAGGTTAGTGACCAGCAGGCGGAATTTTGTGGTCTGGGTGGTTATATTCCTGAGGAGGAATTCCTGCTCCACTTGAAAAAACCATTCCGGCAGGCTGGTCAGAGAGCAGACTGGTAGCATCCTGTGTGTTGCTGACATCTTGTGTAAAAACTTGGTTCATTCCAAGGGTCACCAGTGTTGGGGTTATAAAACCGAACTGGATTTTATCTCTTTATTTGGTGATGAACCAAGCACAAGTGATGTCAGCAACCGTCGTGATGCGAATGATGATTCCGGCTCAGGTCCGGCTGCTTAAGAACCTGACCGGCGATGTTTACTCGGTCAGTTTGGGCGGTCCCGAGGCAGGAGTCGGCCAATCACAGGCCAGGTGCGGGTCTCAATTGATGGCCAATCAGGAACCGCTACAATAACACCTGCGGAAAGAGTGCGGGCTGCTGTCATCAGACCTTGGCTCTCTATTTTTCTATTCTGAAAGATTCTTTCTATTTTCTAGTATAATAGTTCTGAAGACTAGAAAGTTGTTTATGGACCCTGAGGGGTATTTCTGAAGGTTGTCCTGGTAATTTCAGTGTGGAGGAATAACTACTCAAATAACTTCGATAAGGTCGCTAACGGATATTAGCAATGTATTGTGCGACATGTAAGTAAGCGACCCATAGTTTGGAAAGCAGATGGTTATTGGGGTTTAAAGGTTCGGTCTCGTTTAGTAACAAGGAAAAAGGTTCGTGACGTGGCCATCTGTGACATGGCAAAGGTGGCTACTGGGTCGTTCAGTCGCTCTTCGAGATCCATTTAATGGTAAATGTAAATTTATTTGTGTGAATTCGGAATTTAGAAGTGAAACGAAAACTATAATTTTGAAAATTAAAAAAAGGTAAAGTATAATCATTTCTTTTAATGTGAAATGTATTTTTTATTGTAATAAATATAAGAGGACGATTTGTTTCGATCTGATCCCACACTAGACCAATCCAAATACTAAGAACCTAATTATTCACAATCAAACACTATTATTATAATAAGCTTCGTAGGTCTGCTTTTTCCTGATTACTCGAGGCAGTTGCTTGATTATCTGGAGTTTCCCATTTAGGTCCTCGACGAGTGACTGCCACTCCGTACTGCCTGCTCCCAGAGATGATAGTTTCCTCTGTCTCCTTTATGTTTAGTGGGATTTGTTTTGTAACGTTTCTACAATCTGTAATTCTTTTTGGCTGCTAGATAGCATCTGTACCAAAACCGAGCTTGACCCCCTCGTTTAGTCATGTACAGCTACTCAGAATAATACTTTGCCACTAATCAATAAGCTTTTTTAGAAATTTTAAAAAAAGGTTGGGTCATTTGTCACAATACGGGAGGGGACAAGTATTAGGCATTGCCAAACAATTGATAAGGCAGGTGCTAATCACATGCATTATTACTTTATTATCTAATGATTATAGTCACATTCCAATATGATCAAAACAAGGAAAATCAAGATACTAGTAATATATTCAAATAATATTTTGTACTCGAACTCCCTGCCGCCAAAATACAGTTTAATCGTCGAGGCATAGTGCCACTTAAATTGGGTGACAAGGAACAGGCACAGTCTTCCTGGGGCTGTTATGAATAGAATAGAAGTGCTCAGAGTCAGGAAACACTATAGCCCTGACTGTTCGGAGGAAAATCTCGTCAAGGCTTTCTACATATCTACTGCCAGTAAATAGGAAGGACCGACATCCTCCAACTCCCCAACACCACTTGCATTCATCCATCCAAGCAACTCTGCGGTGATTCGGCCACTCCTACTCGTGATTACATCCTGTTACTTTAGATACAAAATGTACATATATAAAAGGGTCTTTACATTAATTTCTATTGAAACATTTTTCTTCAAAATATCAAGTGAAGGAAAGTTGAAGTAGGAGGGGTGAGGGTGGGGAGAGTGAAGGTTGTTTTGTCACCTACCAGGTGTTTTGTTGATGCCAAAAATAGCTCGTAGTGTTGGTGCCTTCAGAATAAGAGTTTTCTCAGAAGTTTTCTTTATCCCAGAAGGAATGTGGCTTATCTGCATACTGTAGGGCTTATTCCATCCTTTACGGGAATAAAATTATCACTATATGGGTTCTGGAAAAAACAAAACAATCGAAGCATTAATCCGAACGAGACAAATTCGAACCCCAAAATACCAACACCTTCGTAACACAATGTTCCATCTCGACATCCCTTCTAACGATCGTTTTGTGTAATTGTAGGTCCATAAAGGATTATATTTCTCCTACATTACGGTGAGGAGGCTGGTGAAGAAGATTCCATTCTTATGACAAAAGTTTTTCCTTTAGACTAGTTTGTATGTTTGTATGGTAGGGCAAAAATGTCAGATAACTGGGAAATAATTTGACGTTCCTTTTTTGCTTAGTGATCAGGAGATAAATTCCCGAATTAGATCCGAGATAGCACGGCCAAGAGATTTGCTGAGGACCTGCTTCGGGAAATCAACGTAATCAGTTAATCCTTGAATCGCGAGATGGTCCTCATATGGTGATTAAATGAGATGGTGATTGGGATTCCCAACTTTGAGGAAATGACGACAGTCGTTGCAAGGCTGAAGAACATCTAAGTTTTCATTTAGGAAGTCCACTGGTGTCCTGACTTTAACTTGGCCTTTAAAAAGATCGATTTAATAAAATCTGGTAAGTCAACTATTAGTTGCTGAATTAGCATTTTTTAAAATATAGCATACAGCCACACCTCCATTTTTAATTTACTTCCCTATTGTTTGCCTCTGTTAGTAGCCTCGTGTCTTACCAAAAGCAGGTTCTACCTCTTCATTAAGAAAGGCTTCAGGAGCCACTATTGTGTCAGCAGTGCTATTGAGGGCGATGTGAGTCAAATCGCCAGTGCCAGCCTCTGACGGTAGAGGTGTCTGTTCTTTTTCTGAAGTGGCGGAGATGGAAACAGACTGAGGTTGAGCTGCCAATTTCTGTGTTTGACAGCCTCAATATTCTAACACCAAAATGTTTAGTTCTCTTTCAAGCCTTCTCTGTTAAAGCCTACCACCTACAACCCTTCAAGGTGCGACCTCTGTTCTTGCAAAAGTCGTAAAAGCCTTTTCCCGTCCTTTGTATTACCTTTTCATTTTATTTATATTTCTCCAATCTATCCTCGCCATCTCTCTCTCTCTCCGTTTCCTTTCCTACCTCCCAACCTATCACATTCCATCCCTCTCCCACTTTCTCATCTTTCCTCACCCCCCCTCTCCCAGTCTCATTCTGTCTCTCTTGTGGAATTCTCCGAGCTGATATCACATTTACTAATAAGAAAAAGTACGGAGGCAGCCGCCCCCACGACTTTTTTTTTTTTATAATAGTAATTAATATTTGGTGATTTGGCCGAAAAAAATCGTCTGGGGGCTTTGTTTGGCGTTCGTAGCACCTTTAATGTTCCTTTATTTGTACTATAATATATGTTTCTTTATTTAATCTTTAGTCATTTAGTCTTATCAGAGTTTTAGTTCTTAGTCTCAGCCTTTCTTTTTTACATTTAATTAACTTTGTAAGTAATTTTTCTTTCGGTCTTAGAAGTTATTGAACATTAATTTGGTTTCACAGAAGAGAAAATCAAAATCCGGTTTCATATTCTCTATAAATATATTGTACATTACGGCATATATACACTAGACATGAAATACATTACACAAATAAAAAAGACGAATCCATGAATAGACAAATGGCGAACGAATACATGCACATGCAATTGACGAAAATGTGCATCTCGAAAACGTCTTTCAAACGTTTACACACAATATAGCAAATCATACGTAACCTTGAGAAGGCACTCGCAGTCTGTTTATTACGCGATGCGTCACTCGTAATGTTCACACTTTCCGCTTTTAATGGTCGACGTCTAACTTGCGCTCACTTTTCGCCAGGGCACACGGAACCTGTGTTGACTTAAAAGCACCGGGATACATGACATGCTTTTGACGTTTCTAATGGACTGCAGAAATATAGTAATGTCCCTATCGACCTGTGTGTCACCGGCAGCGGCAAGGTGAAGTCTCGCGGTTGTGCCAGCTTTGGGGTAACCTCGCTGACTTGACGACAAGCACACGGGTAGTTTGCATGTAACTAGCTGTTTCTGCAAGCAAATCGCTACTGCAACGGTTCGGGGACGTCGTTCGAACCAGGGAAAAGTAACGTACGGTCTTATACGGTTGTGTCCTAAGCTTTGCGTGTCTGTTTCTGAAGCCATGCACAGGGATAGCCGGGACAGAGAGAGGTCGCTTGTGCAAACGAAGGGCGCGTTCACTAATCTTCCTCCTCCTTCCTACCCTTTCCCACTCTCTTTCACCTTTCTACTCCTTTCTTTCTCATCTCTCCCACTTTCCCCTTTCGTTCTCTTTCCTTCTCTCATCCTTCTCTCATCTTCCCACCATCTCCTCCCTTCGTCCCTCCCTCCCCGACACAAGGTTTTATATATCAATATCCTAAAAGCGAAGATTTCCTTCAGCAGCCATATTTCTCCTGTGAATGTCCGCCATGCAGCATGTGTTCGCCCTGACAAGCGCTGCAACGGCATGCAATACACTGCTGGCCTCCCTGACCGGAAAGACTTCGCCGAAAAAGAATATGCGGTAAAGCTGTGGACGAGAGGCGGGAGGTGTAATAATATTATGTAAAAGCCGCACTGATATTTCATAAGGAAAGGGAGAAAGAGAGAAGTTTTACTGAAAAGACCGGAAGAAAGAATGTTGATAATGCTGATGATAGCAATGAAAACAGTAATGGCAGTAATGAGAGTAAACATAAATCATGATAGAAGTATGTTAATAATAGTGAAGATAAAGGTATGGATACTAGTGGAAATATTGATGATAATAATGTTAATGCTAATGATAATAATCATAGTGATAACAACGCTGATAATGATGATATTATTATAATGATAATGATAAGAAAACGCAACATTATGATGCTAATAATAATGCTACAATATAAATAATAATGATAACAATGATAATAGTAATAGTATCAATTATAATAATGATGATAATAAGGATAAGAATAACAATAGTGGTAATAATAACAGAAATGATAGAAATAATAACGATAGAAATAACAATAATGATAATGATGAAAATGGTCATGATAATAATA